ACAGTTTTCAGATGTTGAATTAAATCAACAAACAAATTCCCAAAGTGACTTTGAGGGGTATGCTGATATGAATGGTGGTTCAGAGAGGAGTAATCTATCTCCATTTGGGAATTTCAAGAAGAGTCTTGAGTATAAGTACTCACAGTTGCAAAGGTAATTTACTGTAGATGCATTGTTGAAACCACTTATGTAAGAGAATGAATAAGCTATGCATAAGCTAGATAGATAATTTAGATAGATAGATAGATAGTTTTATTGACTAAAAACATAGCAGCCATTGGCTGAATTACGTCTAGCTTACAAGTACTAATATTATAAAGCTATGCATACTAATACTGTATATATAAGCCATGCATAAGTCCTCCACTAGTAGTTGTGAAGGGCTGGACAGGAATGCTGGCAACAGTCAAGATAAAAACAATGTTAGTTACAATTAATGCTGAGAAATCTCTGACACTTTTAACAACACCTTCAGCTGGTAAAAATAATGACATTTTCTTTGTGAAAAGGGGCCTCTTCATACAGCTTATAAATTAACTGCTGTAAAACAAAAATCACCTTTTGGAGAACAAACCAATTTAAGTCCAGTCTCTAGTGACTTAGTAACCTACCATCAATAATTTTGGTTTCTTTTCAGAAAGCCTTTAAGTATGAGGACAATGCGGTCATTGTTGGTAGAGAAGGAACTTCAAGGTAACTTTAGTTTTGCTGAAGGATGGATTCAAATTGGAATCCAATTTTTCCATTTTCATCATTAACAGCAAAATGGTTTCAAAATATGACATGGAATTGAAAGTACACAATATTTACATCCTTTACAACTCAGTAACTGAGAAAAAATTTATGACATTTGTTTGAATAGTGTACATGTCAATAAAAATTCTTTCAGACTATAATTTCTTTGATGAATGAATTAACCCTTTAACTCTCAGATCAAATTTGTAATTCTCCTTACTGTCAATCATACAATTCTTATAATGTCTGTTTAGAGAATTTAGTGTTGAATCAACTAATTATCCCCAAATTGATATTTTTCTTTATTCTCATTACTTATGTGGTTGATATTGTATTGATATTGCAAGGAGAAATTCTGTCTTGGTCACTCATGAGAGTTAAAGGGTTAAGGGGTTCTATTAAATCATCTTCAGATTTTATTATTTTTATTTATGGTTATAACTGTCTTTAGAGAGCATGAAATGGGAATATATTCCTCTTAAGTTCTTATCTGGTTGTTTCAATACTAGTTTGTTATCTCTGCAGATGGGTGTTTTTCACATGTCACTGGTGTTGCTGTAGGCTTATTGGGAGTGTACTTGCGCTGGCTGTTGTACTCTCAACCAAAACCATTCCAGAGTAATGTTGTTTTGGAGACTAAAGGATTATTTAAAAATTCTTTTCCAAGCAAAAACAGAGAGGTGTACATCAATGATAACTTAGTTGATGTTATTGCACTGAAAGAGGAGCAATTGCAAAAGCGTCAAAAAGTGAAACAGGATCATAAGCAATCTGCCCATCTTGTGCAAAGACGTAAGGCTGCTATGCTAGATAAAAATGAATTACACTTTGTGCAGAACATGGATGAGAGGGTAGGAACTGGTTTTTTAAATGGGCGAATGTTTGTATTTGGGGGTATTTTGTTTATTGTAGCACTAATACTAGTCAAGGGTGTCAAAAAGATGCCAAATGTGCTCAAAGTCTTTTCACATATTCCAAAGAAAAGTGCACATGTTATTTAAGTTCTAGAATATGCAGAAATTACTGTGAACTAATTTCACATGCAACATGTAAGCAATTAGTAGTGAGATATTTTGAATGTGAACCATTTCCTTCTTTATGGCAAGCACCCTTAAGGACAGGACTTGTCAAAATGTTACAAAAGTTGAAAACTTTCAACATTATGTTCACAGTTGCTCCCAAAAAGGTGGGTGTCCACTTTGAGTATTAAGAGAAAAAAAAAATTGAATGTTCTCATAGTTTTCTCCATCATCCACTTGGCTAAAGTAGATTACACTGTACATGCAAAGTACAAACAGGCCATATTATTACTACCACACTGTTAAAAATATGACAATCTCTTTGAAGTGTAACTTTCTTACGCCCCAAATGAATTAAAAATCCAGTTATTATATGCCTATTTGAAATTATATTCATCTTACATTCATGTGATATCACAACAAAACCTCAAAGGCCCTTGGACATGTCTATTTTGACACATAAAGGGTTAGTCTGTGGGGTGTTCTCATAGCATGTCATTCTTTCATTGGGTAAGAAAAACGACAACTGCATTTTGTTAAAGGAAAGTTAAATTTCTCTATGATGGGAAGAAAAGTGTTACAAGTCTTAGATATAATATTAAAAATTCCATTATGGTTCATCTTTGTCTTTGTATTGATTACCATCTTTGGTCACCCTTCCTACATACAATTGCCAGGTTTACAGTGTTGGGCAAGTTTTTTTTTTTTTGCAGTAAAAGGCTTGGAAGCAACAAATTATGACCTAAAATCTAAAACAAAAGAATTGTTGCAGGATCTCACTTTACCATTACACTTGCCTAGGAAAATAATGAAATATATGGTTGTCTCATAATCTATTAAATCATCCCATGGGAGTGGGAGAAGTCTAAATTTTGCCAACTCATTTAGCTGTGTCAGAGTAGACAGTTACTTAATTTCAGGGATGGACCTTCTAAATTTTGAGGGGTTGCAATCCCCTGAAACCTTTCATCCCCTTCCCCTCTGTTTACTAATAATGATGCTAACAGAGATAATGATAATAACAATATGGGTAATAAAAGAATCAATAATTATTCCGGAGAATGATTTAAAAAGTGAAGTTTAAGCAAGGAAATGTTGCCAATCCTTAACGTGCTCAAGAACGAAACAGACCATTTCCATATTTTATTCGATACATAATGATGTATGTAAGTATTTAGCGAGTGTAAGCAACTGGAATCGGTGTCATTCTACATTATTGTCGTTGGTTTCCTTATTTGAACGTAGGGTGCGGGAATATAACCACAACCCAATAGCATAATTTGTCCGCTAAAGACAATTTTGGGGTTTAAGACACTTTCAATGTGTTGCGTTAAATGTTATCGCGTAACTCTGTCGACTGTTTTCGGGGTTTCTTCTGTCTCTCGATCTGGTGGTAGAAACTTCATACAATAAGTGTTTTTGCCAGAAGAGAATTGTGCCAACGGCTGTTTCTGGGAAACACAATTAGATCTCTTGTCTAATCCCAGTTAGAAACGGAAAACTGAAAGATGTAATTGGGGTCGAATCTCTCAATAACTAATCTTAATACAGGCAACCCATCACGTTTTACATGAGAGGGGGTTTTTCCCCGACGAGATTTGTCTTTCCGTTCAGTATTCATTTTCATTCCTTCTCAGAGCCCTCAAGGCCGAACTGCTGGTTGATATTGGCCCATAAGAAGTTTTAGATGCTTCAGCGTGAATTCGCCAACTTTGATCGAGCTTTTCGTCTTGCTGCCACAGGTCGTGGCCATGCATGGCTGTACGTGCTCCGGCCCTTTCAGTTTTGAGAGGGTGGATTCACCTCCGGCGAATGTGAAATAAGCCACGTTCGCGAAGTTGCGTACACAAATGGTGCTGAAGTTGCACAGCTGGTCGAAGCAATTGCAATCACGAGCCTGTATGACGTCACGTCAAAAGCTCTATTATTCCATCCAAATTTCCATTTCAGTCTTATCACTCATTTCAGAGGGAAAGACCTAAAAGTTCTCAAAATTGCCTTCAGAGCTCGAATCTTCGCTAGCGAAATTTTCAAAGACCCATTTTATGTATTATGACGTCCTTCAGGATCCTCAGCAGACTTTCAGTTTTTATTACCTATTGATGTAGGTACCCGGCTAAATAATAATTTAGTTTTCGCCTTCCAACAACAGATTTAGCCCGCTGTTGTAAACTGACACTTTAATACGGAAAATGGCGGTCGACCAAGGTGATTGGAAGCGCCAAAAACGGTTCTTGAACTTTCGCACTGTCACTGTCTTGCGCGGTGTATCGCTAGACTTCAAAAGTCCATAACTGTACTGATGTTGCGTCAAGACCATTTTTGACCTTATAATATCAACAAGAACACTTGTCTGTCTATCACGGATAAATTGATCCGTTTCAATAAACGTGGGGATGTTCTTGTACTGAAGTAATTGTGAGGTATCCAGGATATTGTGCTTATGTCATCAGGGAAAATATAAGAATGAGAAATAACTTCCACCTATTTAGTTAATAATTGGAAAACTTTTATCTTACATGATAGGCTGTAGAAAACACAGTGCACATTTAGCATATCACGGTTCTCGTGTGACAAACACGCGTAAATCACATGTGATCATTGGCGGGCAAATGAATAATTCCCGTGTATTTACCTTATACGTATAATTTTAACGATTAGTTCATTTTTGAAATTGAGTCAAATCGAAAAAAATATTTGCTGAGGCTAGAAAAATACAATTTTTGTTGGCGAAGCAGGGAAATTCTTACGCCCTCTCGCAACCCCTAGAAATACCTGCCAAAACATGTCCCAAATGGAACAGGGGTTGATGAGTTTTCAATCGAATCTCTCTATACTTTTTGTTAAATATTGGCTAAAAATAACTGCTCGTGACAACGGGAACTCGAGGAAAAAAAACCTACAAAGCAAACATATTCGAGAAGCTCATTTACGATAGTGTATTGCGATTGACGCGATATTTTAACGTCAACAAAGAGCAATTACATTTCCCAATGCGAAAGTCCGTTTTTTCGGGGAATCCCCTAATTAAAAATTCATTGTTTGTACCCACATCAGCTGACACCTTTGCATTCCTGCACGACTCTCGCTGTCGCCCAGGGTGCCCCGGTGGAGTCCCTAAATTCCCCGAGATGAAGCGTTTTGATTGGTGAAAAGATTACAAGCTCGCTAGATCATTGGTCAATTTTAGGACACGTGATTGAAAAGGGAAATTTCCCTTCTCTGAGTAGCAAGCGTATATACCTGACCATCCGCCATTACTAAGCATCTTCGATCACGGGGACTGTGAGAGTGTGTGTAGAATTTAATAGTTCAATTTGTTTGTATTAATTTCGTTTCTTAGAGAACCGTAAACTTTTTAATTATCGTAAGAAATCTGTGTTCACTGTGATGGATTCAACTACAAGTGGGCAACGAAAGCTGACTCCTCGCGGAGCGATGCCAACCGGTCTGGTACGACAGAAAATGTTAGCAGTTCCTCATGCAGATGGAAAGGTTGTAAGCGCCAGCAGTCAGTGTGACTCTGGATTTGGTGACGACGAAGAATTACGCTCTCGAAGCATAGAAAGAAACAATGAATTCACCAGCTTGCGCAGTGTAGAGGAGAGGACCGAAAATTTGTCGATCGAGGACCCTGATACTGATAACCGACACCCTTCCTTGGAATCACAAGATTCATCGCTTCTGAAAAACGAAGAACTTTATCTAAACTATGCTCACACTAATGACGTGAGGTATCTATTAGCCCAGGACCATGTTAGAAAGCAGTTATACCTTCAAGACGACGATGGTGACACGTAAGTTTCCAAACGAATCATCGTTCTTCTCTAAATATTCGTTCTGTGCAAACTTAAGATTTCGTACGTGTAGCCGAGGTGCATATCCAATGACCTTTGCCTTCAGATAAAATGCTTTGCTTTCTCCTCGATCTGTAAATAGCTGAATATCGAAACAGGTAGTGTCGTCGTTTTTTTTCTCTTTTTTCTTTCACCCTTTACCGACTTGTACGAAGGAGAAGATATTTTGAATTAAAGTCGATCAAATTTCCTCCTTTCGTGAAGCAAGACATAAACTGTTCCCTCTACGATTCCAGGCGTGGAGAGGTATTCGATTTCACTTGAAACAGCCAAAGTAAAAACTGACTTTTTCTGGAAATTGTATAGAAATTACGCTTTTTTATAAACTAGCGTCAGGAGCAACGGTTTACTTCAACACTTATGTTTTCGTTTTAAAAATATCGTCATCCACCAATCTCACAAATGTTCCTTTCCCCGAAATGATGGAGTTGAGTAACAATATGAAATTCTTAACATACATCATGGTCATTTTCTTTTTATACTTTCAGAGCTCTTCATTTGTCGATTATAAATATGAAACCAATGGAAACAGATGCGATAATCTCAGTTGCGCCGTGTAGAGAATGCCTCGACATTTACAACGATCTGAAACAGGTAAACAAAACAAAACCACTTCATGTTTGGCATATTTCCTCTAGACTAACTCAGAGTTTGATAAGCGTTCTCTCGGAAAATCAGCCGTAAGACACTGTAATAATCTTTTTATTCTTTATAAAAGAAATTTGTGTGATATTTATGAAACATTTTCTGTCGTAGACACCTCTTCACCTAGCGACAATCACCCGACAGCCCGCCGCAATCCGCAGACTTCTGGAAGCCGGAGCTTCGCCAAACATTCCCGATCGCAATGGTAGAACAGCTTTACATTTAGCTTGTGATCAAGGAGACATTGACTGCGTAAAGGAGATTTTAAGACCTCTGCACGACAAACGATGGGGTGACGAAATGAAAGAGAAAGTATATAACATGCTTCACGAGCGAGACTACGAAGGTAAGTTCACAATATTGATCGTCCATTTCTGTCGAGCCTTATTTGGTGCTCTCGTCTGAAATTATACATGAAAGCTCTGCTTGCCCTTCGCCCACGTTTTGGTTTCTGTTGATGACTTCAATTGCATGGGGGCTTCCCTTGTTGTTGAAAGGGAAAGTGAAATGTGCTGTGGAAGCACAACCGGTACATTGTGTTAGCGGGGGTTTCCCATACAGGTCGGAAAGGGAAATATGTAAGTAAGAAGTTTCGTTTTGGCATTTTTTTTTCCTTTGTTCACATTAAACTTGTCAAATTGCCAGGGTTACTCCTACTTAAGTTGTCAGTTCATCTTGATAGAGATTTGATCAGAAGAAACTTAAACTCAAGATAAGCAATGGCGTATTTTCGTGTTACTAATACTTGTAATTTTTTCCCCTAGGTTTTGCCGCTTTACACAAGGCTGTATTTGTAAGCAGTGTACAAATTGCCACTTATCTGGTGTCTCTTGGGGCTAATGTTAACATTCAGGTAGGTTACGTTTACATTAATTTTTGTGTCTTATTTTTAAATGCACAAGAACAGTGATGGTGCAGGACTCCCACAAGTTGGCTTATTTTGCCTTCCTGTTGGCTCCTGTCCTTACAATAAAGCTTGCTGTAAGGATTTTTATCACACTGCACTAGAACACAAATCTTAATGTGAGAGCAAATTTTGATAGTAGTCATGACCTAGAGCAGATGCACTGAGGAACTAGAAAATTAAAAAGGATCAATGTTTTAGTCTAAATTTTTTTTCAACATCTTTCTTCGCAGGATGCTAAAAGTGGACGTTCCCCACTTCATCATGCAGTTGAGGCTGGTAACTTGTCCATGATCAACTGCCTTTTGTACCAGTGCAGTGCAGACCCAGATGCCATGACATTTGGTGAAGTGACACCTCTTCATATTGCTGCAGGACGGGGAATGGAAGCTGTGGTAGCTCTGTTACTTGCTGCCGGTTCTGATCCAAGCCTAACAAACTATGAGGGTGAATCACCTCTTAATATTGCTGCCTCTAAACAGGTGATTACTAGTGGAGCCCTTATGTTGAAATCTCTCAGGTGAAGAATGTTGCATGGTAGGAACCTGTTTAATTTAAACACGTAGAGCAGTTTGAAAAAAGGGCCAGCATGCTTGTTTTCTTATTTCAAAAGGAACTTCTTTGGCTCCCTTGTTTAAATGAAAAGTCAGCATAGATGTCAATGATGCTTTCACTTTTTTCATTGTTGTTGAACCTTTAAGAGTTTTCTTTCCCTTCTCCCATCGGTCCCATTATTTCATTTTGTCCTCAGAGGAGTTATATTTGTGAATCAGTACTTTAAAATAACTAAGTGAAGTGAATTCCAATCTAATGATTCCTTGGTATTCTTCTGTTTTTCTTTTCCAGATTCATGACATGGTGAAGTCTACCTTCTAAGCTTAAAATAGAGTTACAGACAAGAATGGAAGGAGTGGATTTCAAACCCCCTGAATATTTTAAAAAACCCACACAATGGCAGGCTGGTAACTTCCCAAACAAGCCTGTGCAATTGACACTATCATACCTTATAAATTTACATAGCATTACAAAAGCAAGATTTTTCTAGAGCCTTGAGGCTACTTCCTATATCAAATCACAGACATTTTACTGCATGAAACTGCACGCTTTATTGCTATTATTGAAAAAAAATTTTTTTTTGTTGCTGTCTTGTCTGAACCAAATAGATAAAAGTGATTTTTACATAGTTGCTAACAAATCAAGAACGTAAATTTGAACTGGTCTATGTGTGCAATTACAGTTCCTTGTGAGACTTGATGCCAAGATATCTTAGATCAAATAAAATTCAGTTTTAGAATAGTACGTCTCTTCCATTTATAAAGTATACCATTAGAATAAGTAGGATAAATACTGACCCCAAAGAAAGTTCTATTGTTTATCAATGGTAACATTCTAGGGGTAAGTAAAGCACAGTTTTCATTCTTTGACACATTACAAGGCGGTTTTCATAAGTAGCTGGCAGCCAGTGACGCTAAATGCTTTGCAAAAGATATTCTGTTTGGAAAGTGTCCTGATTCTGTTCCCTTTCACCCCCAAGATCTTGATATCAATTCTCTTTACTGCCAACCATAATCCTCTTCTATTTTTGCCATGGGAATTAAGGGTCATTTAACATAACAATATCCCTTGGTTGATATTTCTTATTATTGACATCAACCCTGTGCTCTACAATGTCAAAATATTGAAAGAAGAAATTTCTTACCAGTCACTTTGAGGTGAAATGTTAAGTAAGAGTTGACATAATTAGCCACTACAGCAGTGATAGCATCTACAATTTCACATTTCAATATATTTCCATAGCATCCATCATGAACATAACATACTCATCAGGCCTTTGAATGACTTCACGAGTTACTTACTATTACAAGCATACATGGGAAAGGTACTCATGTATGGCTCTCCTTTCCAGCCCAAAGCAGGTGTTAGATAATCTTTAATGAATTTGCTCCAACATGGTTATGACCATGTTTTAAACATGATAATGTTTAATGGGTAGCTACAAATACTGTCATCTTAGCAATGTTGTAAAGAATTCAAATAATCAAAAGAAAGAAAGTGAGATTTGTTTCTAGGTATTTACTGATTTCCTTATGATGTGGTCTTTAAAAGAGTAGATGTTTCCAACCCACTCCACTCAGGGCTAGGCTACGTATTTTCAGTTCTCTCTTTCCTAAGTAAAGATAAGATTGAAACCCTAAAACGGCGAGTTTAACCTCAACCAACTTCGTTTCCAGGGACCCCTTTCTTCCTCCCTCAAGGGACGAAGACCCAAGGAGCTAAGTTGTTGAATGAACAAGGTGTCAATTCAGTGTACCATACACGCATCGACTGTTGACCGTGGGCTCATATTGGCTGATGTAACAGGAAGAGGATTATGGAAATGTTCCAAGAAATTCATTTATAAACACCAATAGTATATGTTGCTTAAATTTCTTGTAAAGAGAGGAAAGCTTGGTAAATTTCCTACAAACTTTAGGTGTATAAGGTACATATCATTAAGCATGGCGGCTTCAAACGACGAAAGTAATAAAGAAAACGTAGCGGATGGAGAGACAGAACAAATCGTGACCATGGAGAAGGTCGTTGCAGCGGATAACAAGGGAATCGACTATGACAAGCTGATCAGTTAGTTTATCTTCCCTCATTTATTTATATTTATATATTCAAATTTTTTATGGTGTTATTTCTTCCGTTGAATTATTCCAAGAAAATGGCGTGTTAGCCTCGATCGATGATCAGCTGAAAATTCAGTCACGTGGCTTCTGTGGTTTTATTGTCTAGCTGACTTAAGAATATTCGTCTGGCATTAGTTGAAAGATAGTTAACAAGGATAAATACGATATTATATTCTTTCAGCATGCATAACAATAGCCACACCAGGCTAGTAAGACATGATGGACTTCCTCATTAATTTCTCTTTTTTTTTGGACATCGGTGGTACTTATAATAACTACCCACCCAAAACATACCCAAGTATACTATTGAGGCAGTACCAGTGCTGTATACCTTATTATTATTCTCTTATCTGCTAGCCAAAAGGGTTTTGATTTTGTACATAATCAAACACCAGTAATTTTTTTTGAGACGTTTTGTAGGAGGAGGACAAAAACGCTTTCATTAGCTACAAGAGTTAATTGTTTCTAAAGGAAGTATCAATTTGAAAGTTCTTCTTTTGTAAGTTCTTTCTAAAACAAGGCCTTTATTTGGAGACTGGTGGTAATTATAATAATTACCCACCCAAACATACCCAAGTATGCTATTGAGGCAGTACCAGCACTGTACACCTCAACACCCACAGCAAGAAGGCTTAGTTTCCCTTTCTTTGTTAAAAGGATGAAACTTTGTTAGTATAACAAGTAATTTTATGATCCACAGGGCAGTTTGGTTGCTCCAAATTGGAAGACAAACACAAGGAAAGGATAGAGAAACTAACTGGAAAAGCACCACATCATTTGTTAAGAAGGGGTGTCTTCTTCTCACACAGGTAAAGAGGGACTAATTATCACTATAAGGCTTTATAAACAAAGTAAATAAGTAAACGTAATTAATCAGGAGATCCTTTTTTTGACTGTGTTGGTTGTAAGGGTTGTCATATTATGGTGTCCTCCATGGCCTTTAAACAAGGCATTCATTTAATGGTCATTGTTAACTGCAATAGTGCTGAGTGCCCTTTACTCAGGTTTAATCTTAGGTTAGTCTGAAAGGTTTTACCAATGAAACAAAGTTAATGGACTGTAGACCTTGATACCCAACACTGGTGCACTGTCTACCTCTCAGAAACTTTAACCTCAACACTTATTAAAACCCTTTGTTAATAAGAAAAGTTATATTTTAACAATAGTGCTATATGTAGCTTTGATCTCTTACATTCTAGAAAGTCACATGACTGTATTTCGTAGTACAAATTATTGTAATTTCCAGCCTACAAAGGGAAAGGGACCTTTGATTCCTTCATAAAATGTTATCAGCTTATTTTGGTAGTCATGATTTAATAGCTTCAAGCCCTGAATTGTTTGTAATGAAGGAATGTTACAAATTGTTAATTATTACCTTAAATGTTTCAAGGGATCTTGACTATGTCCTGGATATGTATGAAAAGGGAAAGCCTTTTTACTTATATACTGGAAGAGGTCCATCCTCAGAAGCCATGCACATGGGACATCTGATTCCCTTTATCTTCACAAAGTAAGTCACTGTGGATAATTCAATCAAACTGAAGAGGTGGCTGAGTGACTTTTAAGGAAACCTGTTTTATAGGGGTATACAAGACAGTTTGGAAGGAGAATTTTCAAGAAGCAACTCAAGGCCTTTTCCATGCATTCCCTCTGATGTTTTTAAATCTATTTCTGATGTGCTACAAACATTTACAGGAACCAGTTTCATTGAAACATGAAATGTTAAACAGCTTTTGTAAGCCTGAAATTTAGTTTTACTCAAAGATTTGGATCTGACACTTTTTCAATTTTGTCATCTGGCTCTATACCAGCTGAGAAACAAAGAACCCATTAGTGAGACAAGTAAAGTATATCTATGAAAATATTACAGCAAACAAAGAAGTGAGAAGAAGAACTAGATGTGCACATGTGTTGAAAAACTTCACATTTTGCTTAGTTTCTCCACGGTTATGTCAACAATTAAGGTAAAAAGTGTAACTTACAGAGATTTTACTTCTAATTCAGGTATCTTCAAGATGTCTTCAATGTGCCACTAGTAATTCAACTGACAGATGATGAAAAGTTTTTTCTCAAGGACTTAGAGTGCGAAGAAACACACAGACTGGCTTATGAAAATGCCAAAGATATCATAGCTGTTGGCTTTGATGTGAAGAAGACCTTTATCTTCTCAGATATTGATTATATAGGGTAAGAAATAAACTAATTATAAACCCGTTTCTTCAATTAATGATTATGAGTGAGCAAAACAATTGCTTAATTTATGAGAATTCACAATACTATTTGTAATCCCAAGCTAGGAATACATGTCAAAATATATTTATGGGAAAATTAGTGTAATTATAGTTATTACTGAACTGTTAGAATTTGTGAGGATTCTTTTGAAGGGTGTATGTGAAAAATTATTTCTCTTATCAACTTTTAGGAGCAGCTCTGAGTTTTACAAAAACATCATCAAAATACAAAGGTGTGTAACTTACAACCAAGTTAAAGCAATCTTTGGATTTGATGAGAGTTCTTGTATAGGTATGTATCAGAGTACCTCTTCTCCATTTTTCAGCATTATTTTCTAGATAATAACTTAGTAGCTTTTGGTGTTTTAATAAGTGTTTCATTTAGCTTTCCTCACTTTTAATCAATCTTTCATGAAACATTTTGTTTCCATGTGGAAATATATATAGATGTTTGAATTTTGTTTGTGGGTTGAACTTTTGTTTTCCAGGCTCATTTTAGTTTAAACTGAGCGACAGGTATTTAGATGCAGATGTATTTGTCTTTATTTCAGGTAAAATAGCTTTTCCTGCCATACAAGCAGCCCCATCATTTAGCCACTCTTTTCCTCACACATTTGGAAGCAGAAAAGATATCCCATGTCTTATTCCTTGTGCAATTGACCAGGTAAGACTTGCAGGAAGTGAATCAAGACCTTCTTCTTAAACAGAGGGCGTGTGGTGTTTTGTAAATGCATTGTATATCCTCTCATTACAAAGCATTTGCAGTGGTATTTTTCAGTGGGAGAGGGGAGGAAATATAGATTGTCTCCGAGGATACCTGGTAGAAGTAACACTTTTTCTCCGAGATGGATACCACACATATCTGGCTGACATAATCTTTTCTTTTATCGTATGCATCTGATTAAACCTCACCATAATTATGGAAAATTTTTGCTACTTTACATTTTGCTTTTATTTTTCCAGAGGTGATGGGCAGGGAAGGTGGTTGTATTTGCCCAATGCTTGGTGCATGAGCCTAGGAATTAATGCGTTCAGAATAGCAGTTCCTATCAGCCAAACCAATCCCCTTTTCATAGTTTCTAGATTAAAATTAATTGACTTTGATCAGTGTCTCTAGAGAATTGCATGAACCATCCTTAGTGATACATATACATTCTAACGATGTGCAGTTCTAAGGGGGAAAATTCCTAACTACAATCTCCTTCTATTTGGACATGTACATATAGTTGTGTGTAATGTGAAGTAATACAATTCACCTAATCTTTACTGAATGTTATTTGTGTGTTTTGTTTTCTTCCTAATGGGTAGGATCCTTACTTCAGGATGACTCGGGATGTTGCTCCACGACTTGGTTGTCCAAAACCATCTCTGATATTTTCCACATTCTTTCCTGCTCTGCAAGGTGCAAAAACAAAAATGAGCTCCAGTGATCCAACCTCTTCCATCTTTCTCACTGATTCCCCAGCTCAGATTAAAAAGAAGGTATGGTTGTATTTTACAGGATTGCATGAGTCAAATAATTTCAATTGATTCATTTGAGCTCAGTACTTAATTGGGTCTGTCAGTCATTTCTCAATAAATTGTTTGCTGAAAAATCTAAAGTTAAGTAACCTACCTCTCGAGAGGAATTTCCTTTTGGTAATTTTCCAAGAAACATTGTACACAGAGCAAGTTCTATAATTTGTATCTCTTCATCTCCTATTCATAAAGGGGTCTTTCTTGAGAAGATCATTATATGTAGTTGTCAAATGGTGATAATGAAGTTTATTGTATTAAGTGCCTTACTAGGATCAGAAAACAAAAGTTCTTAAGTACATCTAGTGCACTACTGTTTTTGTTATCTAGGTTAACAAGTATGCATTCTCTGGTGGTCGTGATACTGTGGAAGATCACAGGAAATATGGTGGAGATATAACAGTAGATATTGCTTATCAGTATCTCACATTCTTCCTTGAGGATGATGAAAAACTTGCTCAAATAAAAGAGGTAAATGTGCCAAGACCATGATGCTTTAGAAGTTATGTCAGGGTTTAAGGAAATAGGGACTAGGGCTTATTTTGTTTTTTTTCTTGCCACTGTTCTTTTGAAAATTTGTGTCAATGAATTAGTAGTATACTAACCCCATTGGCTACTTGTTATTAAATCAGGATTATTCTACTGGAAAGATGTTGTCTGGAGAAATCAAGAAGGAACTCATCTCAGTTTTACAGCCCCTGGTGGCAGAACACCAAGAGAGAAAGAAACTAGTCACAGATGAAGTTGTTAGAGAATTTATGACTCCAAGGAAGTTAGAATTTACAGGGTTTAACTCCTGAGCACAGATAAAACCAAGCAATGAACATTTTCCTAAAACTGCTTTGTGTATGATGTTACAAGTGTGGTAAAAAGATTTTTAAATGCATGTGAACTTAGATTTCCTTTGACACAAGAAGAATGTTAACCATAGAAAGCAGGCAGTAAATATATCAGTGACAATGAGTTAAGTCAGTTACCAGCACTTAATTTATTTCAGACTCCAACTGTTAAGGAATGTATGCAAGGTCATGCCTTAAGTTCTTAGTGGTAATACTACGAGGGGACTGGGGATATACAGTGTAAAGGATAAAATCAGTTGTACATTGGTGATTTCACCATTGTCTTAGGTGATAAACTCCCAACTGCCCCAGTCCTTTCTCCCACTGTGCTTTCCAAATACCTGTTTCAGGCAGACATCCCCAAAGGAGCAGCTTCAGCCATTAGGAGCAAGGTTCGGTTGTGGAATAACATTAACTTTTCACTCAATTTGTGGCCCAAGAATAAAGCCTTTCGTCAATGAAGCAGTATATACATGTTAGATGCTCTTTAATAATTTGAAAGTAAGAGGAACAGCAACAACACCTTTTATTTTGGGGGGGGGGGACCCTCTTAAAGGTAATGTAAAGTTTTGATATATTTTTTTGCCTTCACGAAGAGAATTACGGAAACAGATTTCATTTTGTTTCCTTCAGTATCTTATTGCACTAAGATAAAACCTGCCAAGGCGCTTTTGTTCAAGAGAATTCAAGGGCAGATTTACGCACACCTCTTAAACCCAGATTAGCGAAAAACTACTTTATTTCGAGGAAAAATAGTAGGGTTTATTCTTTGGAATTTTTCACATAGTGTTCACTTTCCAACTCTGAAAAGTTAGGTGTCGAACTATTTTCGAACTAAGACTGAAAAGAATAAATAGCTGGCTTTGTAGAATTGAGAACGGATTCTGTATTGAATTGTGAAGTATGTGAACATGAAGACTACTTTTAAAACTTGGAGACAGCCAGAAAGATAAATATTTGTAATAAAACAAGAAGTCTGGACCTGTCTGAAGTTTTCTTCTATCCGCTAAGCTGCTGACAGTGCTTCCAAGGTGAATTTTGTGCTGTTATTTACACAAATGTGAACGAAACCTTGGGAGATGGACCGCATCAATGGTCATTGCATGAGTTGTATTTGTAGCTGGTACAGGTTAACCTGCTACTTTAGCTAGAAATGAAAAAAAATCTCTTAGGCCTAAAATTGCCAGTGTCACTTGTAATTAAGGCATTGGGATAATTCAACCTTGGATTTTTCAAGAGTGGATGTGTCTAAAATACTGTCTCTTTTCATCGATCCTTGACGAAGCTGTAAATGAACTAGACAAGAAAAGGATTGTGGTAATAAGCAGCCGCGGCAGCTGGGTACATTTGGCGGGAAACTCTAATTGTACGACTATTTTGAGCCCAACAAGACAAGAAACTTATTTTACTCGTAAAAGGTCGAAAAATCCTCTTTCATCGTTTTATTACAGAGCTCAAAATTCGTCTCCTTTCCCTTTCTATTCACTTGAGGCTTTTTACATAGCTGACTCTAGCACAAAGCGGGGTGATACCTATTAGGCGCCTTGTTTACGGTAAGTTTCTGTAGCTAAGTGCCAGGGCATTGGGGTGCGGAATTCGAATGTCTGAGTTTCGATTTCTCATGAAGACTCAGCCTTTGATATTTGTGATAAGACAGAAAAAAAAAAGATCTTTCTTGAAGTCTTATTTTGCCCGGCGGATTTTGCTATTTTTCCGCACATTCCGTCGAATACCTTGCGTATTTTTAGCCAAGTTAACAGGTTCTAGTCTGAACAAGATCTCTTGGTAATTGCTTTCAACTGAACAAACAAACATACGCTTAAAACTGCTCATGCACTGATATGTTCAGTTAACTCAGAGGTTAGGAATACAGAATCATTTGAATAAAGTTTTGCTTTCAGAGCAGTTGAGTTCTAGGAAAGAGAGGTGAAGGATTTTGCAATCTTGAATTTTCTTTTTAATTAACCAATAGAACTACTGTTTTGAATCACAACATAGAATACAAAAGACTAAATCATATACACTCTCCATGTTTTTATGTGTCTGTTCAGAGATAGATCATAGAAAAATTAGAAATACGGTACGAACATCAGTGACACACTCATCTTCGCGTCGGGTGCCACTTTTTTGGTCTTACCACATGATAATGTCAGATGCGATCGCTTACTGAACAGACGCAAAGCGAGCTTTAAGTGCTAAAACCAGTGTGATACTGCTAAATTGAGAAAAGGTAGGCAAGTATCTCTACATGATATATTGACATGGTTCACCGAGAACGCCAGTTTAGTCAGTCTCTCTTCCATCAGCTGAGAGGAAAATTTGCAGTGTTGTCCTCTTCTAGTTGCTGTAGCCATGAAACTCCAAGAAGATGAGTGTGCACTTCAGATATCAGGTGTCAGTAAATACCGCAAGCTTTTATCTGCAAAAGTTACATCCTGGAATCTAAAACATGAAAGTAGATGCTTTTCAGCCAAATTTTCCACTTTCCTGAACATTGCAAAACCAGTTGAATGGAACATCATGAAAATGTGAACTGTCATAGTTGCTTCCATTCTTGCAATCGTTATTTATCCCAAAAACCGCTGGATTCACGATTGTGAACTATTTGATTGACCCTTTAACTCCTATAAGTGACAAAGATAGAATTTCTCCTTACAATATCAATACAATATCAAGCAGACAAGCGATGAAAATTGGGAAAATTATCAGTTAGGGATTAAAAAGTTGATCCAATACCAAATTCTCCAAACTAACATCACAAGAACTGTATAAGAGACAGGAAGGAGAATTACTGATGAGATCTTGGGTGTTGAAGGATTAACAGCCGGATGAATCCTGTATTGTTCATGGTAGCCTTCACCGGTAAATGTTCCAGACAATTGGTTATCGAAGTTGTAAACTCTCGTACTCGGCCGCATCTAGTTTAAAAGATAATTTAGGTGTACGGCTACGATGCGGTGTTGAAGATAACGTACTCGGAGTAGTTTCTTCCGGCGAGCAATTTTCTGCAATAATTTCGGAACCGAAGAGCTCGTGGTTCTTCTGTTCTGCCCATGGCTGGTTTCTGTTGGATTTCTGGCCAAACAAAGTGTAACTAATTCTGTCGGTTATAAACTGTGCAAGTTCTAAGTCTTCTCCTCCTTTATCAGAATTTGAAGAAGCGTAGTGCTCATTAATGGTTGCAATGAACGTATTTACGATTATAATTGTCGTACTGGCGACAAAACTAAAAAAGAAAAAACGTCCCAATATAGGATTTGTAGAAATCAGTTCATTTACTGGAATATTTTTTCCAAGGAGCATCAGAAATTGCGACGAAATGGCGTCTATGAATGATGAGAACATGTAAATATTGGTTCCGAAGGCGATGACCCCTAAGAAAGAATGAGCTATCGCTACTACCATAAAGATCAAAAAGAAAGAAGATATTGAAAGAAAGGATCTGCGGAGTGTCCACGAGAAAACTATAATTTGTGGCACGAAGTAAAAGCATTTTAGAAGACGCAATGTGGCAATTACGGACGCTATGCAAATAACCAGGTTTTCAAGGTAAGACCAAAGTAACACCTCATGGAAGCCAATGGGAACAAAAGGGTTTTCCTTTAGTTTGAACAACGTTATTTTTGCTGCCTTGGTTTTCATCCATTGGAGGAACAATGCTGATGACGCAGTGACTATCTGTAGCATGTTCAACCAGTTCCACCCTGACTTGAAATACAAGCAGCTCTGACGACAGAGTTTGATGCATTCCAAAATGAAGAAGCAAACAAGTAGAATGCCAAACAGAAATGCAAAAAGCAAGTAAATGTTATGGGCTTGAGGGTTCGTTGCACTCAGGGACAAAATTCCATAACTCTTGAATATGCCGGCAAAGCCTGATGGAAGGACTTCGAAGTAATAAGTTATCACGGCAAGAAGGTTACTCGGTGGATTATACAGTGAGAACTCCACCAGTACAGCTCTGGTCTGACGATCGATCCAGTTGTTTTCTTTTAAGTCTTTGACAATTCTTTTAGCTGTAAACTTGTTGTATCCTAAATTAGCTATGTATCCTCCGCCACTGTAAACAGCAAAACGGCCCCAAGTATCAGAGCCAACATTTCCGTTGTACTCCCAATTTTCTGGACAGAGAGCTGAGGAACTATTCTGGTCAATCCAAGTTCTTTTGTCTTCTCCGTTCTTAGTGAAGGGACCGTAGCAATAAGTAAACATGCTTTTGAATATTTGCTGAAACACACAGGAATCTGTTAAAAGAAAGTAATGAGTTTAGACCCTTTTTTTCAAAGATCCAAGTTCCAGGGATAATTATTGCATTTCAATCATTTCTTTTCTTCAATCATGGAAGACATTTCTCTAATGGAGTCTTTACAACTAGCCAATAATTTTTCCCGATCTTTACGTGTTGCTTAGTTAATTGGCTTGGAGGTCAAAATTCTTAGTTTGAATGTACTCATTTTCCTTTTTAAGAGTGGAGTAGATAATTCCATTTAAAAGTCATTATGACATGCTATAAAAATCCAAGTAGTATTAGAGAACGAAGAAAAACATCTTCTTGGAATGACCAAACCGCGAGAACGTATCGGTGTTGTCACAGTCATACTACTGAGTCCTTAAAATTTCGGTATATGCTTACCTTTCATGACCCTGAGTTGCCTTAGGCGAGGCATGCCGACCAGAGTCGATCGACCATTTCTGATGTACTTTAATCCTTTTTCCTCCTGATCCTTGTACCAGCCCTCTGAAAAGATTGCTGGGACAAACGCGTCCTCCAGCCACCTCCAAAACTGAGCCACGTTGGTTATCTGGTAATTTTAAACATTTAAAATTATTTTCAATGAAAATTTGAAAACGAGAACGAACCAACATCATTGATATCCTAACTGAACCAAACTTTTACAAACGTTAAAGTACATACCCATCTCGACTAACACCATTAGATTCAATGATCTTTAAAGCTTTGAATCAAAACACCATTTAGGAAATAGAGGACATTTTCCGCGTTTGCATAGTTTCATTTTAACATGAAGGGGATTGGGAGAAGTTATGCAAGCTCTTGACTGTCTCAGGTTTGCATAACTTTCTTAAATTTTCCCAACCCCCCTGAGTGCTTTTAAGAGGCGATGAAAATACTCGAAAAAAAATCCTCTGTTGCTTTGATAAATACATCTGGGAAATAATCGTGGTTACTTACCCTTATCTAAACGCACCGTCTATCAATGAGAACGTACGTACGACCTTGAATATTTACAAAAGTCTTTCAGTTATTTCAGTAAGACAAACCATAGGCACTGATTGATTTAAGGTCGACAGAAACATACCTTGTACCGCCCAACATTATCGAAATACTGGACTTCGCTTTCTATTGCAGCTCGTAGATGATATCTCTGCCTGCTTTTGTCTCCATAACAGACGATCAATAAAATCACGAGAAAAATTAAAGAAAACAAGAGTTCCTTCGTGAATGCATACATTTTCCTCTTGTTTTTCCTATACTGTCCTGCTCGTTCGACATCTATCGATGAAAGATCCAAATTTTCGGATGCATCCGTTAGATAACTTTTATTTGTTGACTTGCCACCACTCCTGTACCGTAATGCTAAGACTGCAGATGCAATGATTATCTTGACGGGCTGGATGACCAGCACCTCACCGGTTAAGGAAAGCAGAACAGATGTAAGCCAGCGAGACGATTTCTCTCCTCCCCACATGAGGGAGTAAAACACCGTAAAAAGGGCGGAAGTAATTGCAATACTCACACAGAGAAACCATGCGATGTATACAAAGAAATGGGGAAGTAAACACCGTCCTTCTCTCTTGCTTTTCCCCAATTGATACCGGTTACCTTGACTGTTTCTCCTAGGTTCGCTTTTACGAAACAAGAGCACAATTAGCAGACTTGCAGGCACAACAACTAAGACACTTTCCAACGCGATGACAAGTTGACTCGGAGTCAGTGAAAAAGGTCCAATCAGTATTTTTCT